CAAAAATCTTTCGTTATTGCCCAAAACAAGTATTTAAATAGGTACCTGACTTTGCCTAGCATTTGCTATAGATTATTAATAGTGAGTTGTTCACCCATTTCTAGGAAAATGTGCATAGACTCAGGAAACAATTTCACCAAGATGGGACGGGAGTTTGAAGCCTGCCCTGAAACCCTCAAAAATTGGATTGCCAAAAAAGCCCACACCTTTTACATAATCTAAAAGAATAAAAAGCTGTATCTTATTTTCAATAGACACATCTTCCTTTACAGTCTGCACAAAAAATAGCAGAATCAACAAAGTAAACTAAGCAAAATGATATTCGTTACCTTACCACTGAAGCAGATCACCTAAGCAATATAAATAGTCATTATTTTAAAGATACAATTGCTGTTATCACAGAGAAATGTTCTTTTTATTTGCCACTGAACAGTTTTATTCAGAGTGTGTTGACTTTCCACGTTCATTCTTTTTTCTAGATCTAGAGCAGAAGGGCTGGCAGAGCACATAATTGGTCTATTTGGTGTGTGTGCATGCTTAACCTCCCAGTTTCCCTGCCATTACACGTAGGTAATGGTCCCTACTTTCTACCTTTAAAATTTAGTAGGGACGGAGGGAAGAGCTAGAGAGATTTGTTCAGGATGCTGAACTAAAGTATTACTAAAACATGTAGCAATAATGAAAAGATGCGGTTGAGTCAGTCTCAACTGTGTTTTTCTGAAGTAACTACATGTCCTCACATGGTGCACAAATGTCCTTCCTGTCCTTGCCTTGTAAGAGCAAGAACCAAACAGTCATCTTGGTACCAAAACACTAAGAGACAGACAGTTTGTCATTAGCAGGGGTACTCTCACCTGCTAAGTCACACTTTGAAGTCTATACAGCAATTTTGCTCTGCTGCTCAAGACTTAGACCTCAGGATACTGAAAGAAGTGGGGAACGTGTGTAACTTCCAAGATCGGCTTATAACATTGTGAATTTACAGTATTTGTCTATTTTATAGTAATGTTTCTGCCAAAGTACCTTTTAAAGTAGAAAAATACAAAGACAATGAAGTAAAACATGAAGTTGATGATAGTACAGCTGAAAGATGCTATACAACAGCAATCCTTAGTTTTAATTGTGGTAATAGCAGGTCAGGAGTTTCAGCAAGCATAGAGTTCTGTTTTGGTTTTAAAGCTGATACTGCTCCCTGAACTCAAAAGCTGTGATAACACTGAGATTTTAAGAACCAGATTTAGTGCTGCACTCTTGTTTTGATAGATACTTGTGTGTCAGCAGTCACAGCAGATGATATTTACATTTAGACTGCTGGTTGCACGTTCCTTGATCTTTTTGCCTGTGCTCATTCTATTGAGCAAAAGAAAATACGTATTGTCAGAAGCAGCCTTGCTCTATAAACACTGACATCTCTCTCCACCGAAAACCAAACCAGCCAAGCTCTCCACAGCAGAGTCAGTTCTTTAGGAGCAGAGATGCATCCACGCATCTATTCTCAACGCGCCTGTCAAGGCAGACACAGGTTTCAGTTGATCATGCCTTCCAAAACTTGCGCGTTATATTAAGATGTTGCCAAACAGATATAATAGGTGAAAAAAAAATATAAAAAACCGTAGTTATAGAGGGGGGATTTGAAGTTTTGGGCTCCTCCTAAGAGAGATTACAGAAAGTAATCATGTTGCATTAAACATTTCCGGTATCAGTTTACAGCCATAAGAATAGAAGTGGACAGGCAAAAAGTTCCACTGAGAATCAGATGGCAGCTACAACACCCCAGTCAAAACACAATCCCTTGCTCTGCCGGGAGCTACACAGCAACGGAGACTTATAGATCTAGAAGGGCGAGTTATAAGCGCCTCAGTAAACAGACCAGACAAAGCACATGTAACGTTTACCTTTGTAAACAAAACCAGAGCTAGGAAGCGCCGCAGTGACAGCTACCGAGCACGGCAAGTTTTGATTCCCGGTGGTGCCACCTCCCTTCTGCTGCGGGCGGCGGGGAGTCGCCTCCCCCCCACCCCCAGCGCCGGGGGAAGTTTCTCCGGCCCCGATGTCGGTGCCGGGCCCCGGGCTGGGCCGAGGCGAGCATCCCCCGGGACGTGGCAGGGGCTGCCCCGCTCTCCCCGCCTGCGAGAGGCGCCTCTCCTCACCCCGGCAACTCTCCCCTCCCCCAGTTAAACCAACAACAACAAAAGAGGGAGGGGAAGGAAGGGCGAGCTCGTCCCTCTCCCCCGAGACCCCCATCCGACCCTCTGGGGGGGGCGGCGGGAGCGCAAACGGCCGCTCCCCCAGCCCCGCTTCTCCCCGCTTCCTCCCGGCCCGGCCCGGCCCCTCACCGTGCTGGGTGAAGATATTGAAGCCTCCCTCGGCGGTGCGCCCGACCGCCTCCCGCCGACGGCCCGCCGGCCTGGCCGCGCTGCTCCCCCGCAGTCCCCGCGGCTGCTGCTGCTGGTGCTGAGGCGGCGG